AACTGCGGGGAACTTTGCAAAAAACGCATCTTCGCACGGGCAGCCCGTGCGTTGGCCAATTTTTTAGTGCATGACGGGGTTTTGCTTTTACAAAAATCTTTTTGCAGTATTTACGGCGTAGGTTGTTAGATTTTCGCGGCATTCTGCTGGTGTAAGGAAGGCTATCGATATTGCTGGCTAACTTATAATAGTTTTTCATAGTCTGTCAATGGCTTTAAAATATTTCTTATTTTTATTCTAAATTTATTACTGCAATTTATGGGGTTTTTTTTTTTGCTTAAAGTTTCGTCAGTTTTGGTTTGTGAATTCTGAAGTAAGCTTCATTTTCCAGCGTTCACGAGATTCGCGGGCCACTTGCGCTAGCTGGAACAGAGCCTGGTGGCTTTGTTAATGGGGATGCATTTGATATTCTCTTTGTGCAACACGAAGAAAGTATCGCACTTCCGGTCTTTGCTCTGTTGTCTTCGCATGGCCATATCGCTAACTTTATTATGTCCACCGGCGCTCAGGTTGGTGATTTCATCTCACCATTTATTTTTGAACAATACAATACAACTCCACAGGCCTGCGGTGCTTAAACGAAGAGGAAGGCATCGAAAAAAGATACGTGGTGCAGCAAAATATGTTAAAAAACATTCAGGGTGAATGAGAGGTAATATCAGAGCAGGAGCAGCGAAAAAAAAGAGAATGGAACAATTCCGTTTCATTTTTGATCTAAAAGTTTCTCTTGTCAAATCATTTTTTGGTTATCAAAGCGTTTTAGGATGATATTTTTTTTTGAAACTTCAGGATTCTTATGATGGACGCCTGGATTTTGATCTTATTTCTTACGACCACCTGATATTACCTTGCAAACCATCGGCTTCAGTCCCATACTGCCTGCAGACTGGTTTGTCTTCACCTTTGTGAATCAATATATGGACTTATTTGGACAGTTACTTACTTTGGGAAACCCGTAAATTTCACCGTTTTGTTCTTTTTTGTGATCGGAGTCTCCTTTTGACAACGTTTCTTTCTTCACTGATTCTGAGGTCCACATTGTACGCGTGTATTAGAGGGTTCACTCACTGCATAGGTGGCAGTTTGCTTTTCTTATTTTTCATCCTTGTTCCTTGATCTCTTATCTGTTCTCTGTGCGGTTCACTCTGGAGAGGTGGATTGAAAAAAAGGAACGTTAAAAGAATGAAATTGGATTAGTCAAGAAATAATAATGGCTTAATACTGAGGGTTGAAAGTGGCAGTGGGGAGCCAGTGCTTTTCATTTTGATATGCTACACTTTAGATCCTACGCAGCATGACAGATATCTTGTCCTCTGTGGCACCAATCTTTTTTCTGTTGCTATTGGCAAATGGGCATATTCACTGTCGAAGACGTTGCTGACAGACATGAAGTAAGTAAATTGTTCATTTTATTTTCTATGATAAGACTACTCTTGACCATCAGGTAAAGCAGTTTTTATCTTTCCTTTTCAAATTTCTGAGAATTTGCTTAAATTAACTCATAACTGTAATATTTTATTCTGTTCGCAAATGCTTGTGGATTGTGTGCCGCCGAATTCTAGATTTGAATTAAGGCGGTGGGAAGCTGTTTCCTAACACTGCTGGGCGGAAGTGAGCAAACGCATGATTGCCGTAGCTCACTGTTGCGCACTGTTTTTTATTTATACCACCCTCCCGAAAATAAAAATAATTGGCCAACGCACGGGCTGCCCGTGCGAAGATGCGTTTTTTGCATGGTTACCTGCAGTTTTTGTTGCTACCGGCACCGGTTTTTTCGGCAG